TCATGACGAGATCGGCCATCGTAGGCACCTGCGCGGTAGGGTGAGCAGTTTGGGGGAACTGTCCTATTTGCACAAGAATTTCCATCATGGCTAATATGCGGTCAACCTTCTRCTACATGGCGTTGAAGTAGGCAGGGTTGACTGTCTAAGGCTAGGTCTCTCAATGCGAGGAGATACGTTGTGAGTAGTGTAAGCGTGATCCTTGGAGGGGGAGCAAGCTATAGGGCGATCAGAGGCGTTCTTAGGCATGATTGTTCATAGTGAGCAATAAGGAGTTAGGGAATTGACGGTTTCCACAGATGGTGTCAGTCTGGTGTTGTTCGGTCTAAGGTGTTCCAAACCAAGGAAGCAGTCAAATGATCCTACCAACCGGACATGCCGAGGTGGAAGGATGAAGCCACACACCAAGGTTTGTAAGGACAAAACAAGTCAAAGGCCCGAGGAGTGTTCCCTGGGTAGGCACTCCGACGCTCAAGTCAGTGGTGAGGAATAAGAGATTTTCGAGAGAGTAGGAAGCCAAAAGTCTTGTATCTTGAGTGGGAGGTGCCTATATATAGCCGAGTATTCGAGTTGTGGTTGGACTCAGACTCCTGGGTTGTTGGGATGAGGTTACCTTCCGAAGAAATAGGAGGGCTTTCTCATCCTCGACGGTGACACGTTTCCTTGTCGGATAAAACTCCGCTTCCTTGAGATATGGCTGTTACTAGCGATACTGACGTGGCTCAAGGAACTCAACCACGAAGGGTGACAAGTGGCGATTTGGGCCAGCTCAAGCATCGCCCGAACAGTATATGTAACTAGATTTGATTTGAGTTTGATCCATTTACAACCTATTGTCCACATTATGTGTGGGCTTGGTGCATCTATGAGCTAGACCTAATTCAAAAGATCTAATCGGGTTAGGTTAAGTTATAAACGATTTGTTACTTTTTATTATTAAGTTTAATTATCCTATCAATACTAATGTTTATTCATTTCTTAATTTTTAATAGTTACTAAATAAAAGCTATTAAAATTTAATTCTTTTATTAATTTTAGTAATTTTTATTAATTATACAAATATATTATCCATATTGTGTGGGCTTGATGTAGATCTGAGCTAGACCTAGCTTAGAAGAAAATATTTTCTTGATCAACCCAAAATTGGGCTAAATTATAAATGGTCATTCTAAGAGTCTTATGACATTATTTTAATTAATTTTTATAATCTTTATATGAAATACAAATGATTTATTTTATTAAGGAGGTGTTTTATAGTCTACCATCTACGCCCACCAATTTTTCAAACACCTCCTTAATAATTAATAAAATGATACTGTACTACAAATTAATATTCTCTTCTCTCTTTTCAATTTTCAATTTTTCATGCCCGTGCTCAGCACGGGCTATTCCCGTAATGGGTATTACATCCGAAGAATTTTGAACAATACAACTCTACGTGAATTTCGATAACAGTGCAATGATTAGTGTACAAAAACACACGATGCAGAATTCTGAATTGCCCTCTGCCCCTCTATAAACCACATCCTGCCCGTGAATTTGGCAGCAATTCACGGTCAGGATGCATTCCCCTGTACTTTGGGGCTAGCTAGAGAATTCTGATTTGGGCTGATTGGTACTTCTCCCTGAGAAGTAATGTATAAGAAGTAAATGTAGGAGATCTGGACTAAGGAATTATTGACCACCAAGCTCGAGGATGACGGCAATAGAAGCAACCAGTCAAACATTCTTAATTACAATTTTGTCCTCGATCATGACTCCGATCTCTATTTAAACACGTCCGCGGCCTCCCCATTCACATCTTCTCGCCAGTCGCCACCCCCGCGCCATCTCTCTGTCTCTCTGTCTCTCTCTCTCTCTCTCTGTGCAAAAGAAACTAATATAGTCCTTCTTCTCCGTCTGCGTTCAGATGGGTAGTTTCACTACGAGCTTCCCGGAATCTCCGCTTGGTGAGTTTAAGCCATTAGACCCAGAAGAATTTCGAAAACGAGCCCATCAGACCGTCGATTTCATCGCTGATTACTACAACAGCATCGAAAGCTACCCAGTTCTTAGCCAAGTCGAACCTGGTTATCTACGAAACCAGCTCTCACAGACCGCTCCTTACAACCCAGAACCTTTTGAAGCGGTTCTAAAGGACGTACAAAAGGACATAATCCCTGGCATGACCCATTGGCTAAGCCCAAACTTCTTTGCCTATTTCCCTGCGACGGTGAGCACAGCGGCTTTTCTGGGGGAGATGCTGTGCACTTCCTTTAACTCGGTTGGATTTAACTGGCTAGCGTCGCCTGCGGCGACCGAGCTGGAGATAGTCGTTATGGATTGGCTAGCTGAGATGCTCAAACTACCAAAATCATTCATGTTTTCTGGCACCGGTGGTGGTGTCCTGCAAGGGACGACTAGCGAGGCGATCCTCTGCACCATCGTAGCCGCTAGAGACCGGGCGCTGGAGAGAATTGGAAAGGAGAATATCAGCAAGCTCGTCGTTTACGGCTCCGATCAAACCCACTCTACATACGCAAAGGCATGCAAGATAGCTGGTATTCTCCCTTGCAACATACGAGCGATTGCCACGACAGCCGATGCAGCTTTCGCTCTATCGCCTTCTCTTGTCCGAGAGGCGATAGAAGCTGACGTGGCAGCTGGTCTAGTTCCAATTTATCTCTGTGCTACCGTAGGAACCACTTCCACAACTGCCGTGGATCCATTGACAGCCCTTGCGGAGGTTGCCAACTCATTTGATGTTTGGTTACACGTGGATGGTGCCTACGCAGGTAGCGCTTGCATCTGTCCAGAGTTTCGATCCTACTTGGATGGAATCGAACGAGCCGACTCATTGAGTCTGAGCCCACACAAATGGTTTCTCACCTTCTTGGATTGTTGCTGCTTGTGGGTGAAACAACCGAGTTTACTATTGAAAGCTTTGAGCACTGACCCTGAGTACTTGAAGAACAAACTCAGCGAGTCCAATAACGTGGTGGATTACAAGGACTGGCAAGTAGGCACAGGCCGGAAATTTCGCGCCCTCCGGCTATGGCTGGTGCTACGTTGCTACGGTGTAGCAAATCTTCAGTCCCACATCCGGACGGACGTTGGGATGGCCAATATGTTCGAAGGATTCGTGAAAGCCGATCCACGATTTGAGATCGTCACACCCAGACGGTTTTCATTGGTGTGTTTCCGATTCAACCCAGGAGGTGCTTGGTCCGAACCGGATTCAATCGAGTTGCTGAATAGGAAGCTATTGGAACGCGTCAACTCGACCGGGAAAGTTTACATGACACATTCCAAAGTAGGTGGGGTGTACCTGTTGAGGTTCGCAGTGGGGGCCACGTTGACACAGGAGCGCCATGTGATGGCTGCGTGGGACCTCATCAAGAGTGTAGCTGATAAGATAATTGGAGAAATTAATTAGGTGGTCTTAACTTATTTTATGTTTCTATCTTTTATTTTTCTGTTTTTTTTTCGAGTTCCGGACGTAGTGAAGCTGTTTGAAAATTTCAAGTTTGCTAATAAAGGTGGCTATTTTAGGCTTTTAGGTTGCATTTGATAACACTTGCATTGAAAATTTTGATTTTCACTTTAAATATCTTTACGTCGTCTCTTCTTAATGATCGATAATTTGGTCCTCTGAATCACATTGCGGTATGTGGTTTTTAACTGATACCTCGGTGTTGAGTAAGTAGGTCACCTCGGTAGGTCGGCTAGAAGCATCTCATTAGGGCTGACCTCAAATATCCCAGCTTGGCCGATCTAAAAGGACCTCCAAGCAAGGAGCGACCTACCTCAGGAACTAGCCGAGCCAGAAAAGGTACTATTGGCAACCTACAAGACGTGTTCGCTGATTTGTCACATAGATCCGTTGTTAGACCGAGTTCTTCGAAATATTAATGAGTTGACCATTAGACCGATCTACCCGCATCGCGTGCATCAGAGTCAATCGCATGTACCTCTTGAAGTAGAAATGAGACCTTTATATAGGTGTGAGTGATCAGACACCTCCTGCAACGAGTCCAAACTCTTGCACGTGATGCATGCGACGTGAGAGCCGTCAAATCGTACAACATCACGTCTAACATTTGATTAAAGGAAAAAGGTCTCAATATGTTTAGACATGGTCTTGCATTTAATTGCAATCGGACACATTTTAGGGGATGTTTGGAACCGTGGCCATTTTTCAAAAAAGCAGTGCCATGTTGGATCCATGTAGGCCTTTCAACAAATGGCCATGTATCTCATTGTATGGTTTAGCCGATTATTAAAAAATCGGGCATGCCTCGAAAATCGGTGAATTGTTTCATGCATCGGTGAACCGTTTTCCCCTAATGGTTGACTGATGTATATCCTATGTGGTGCTTACCTGTTAGCACATATATGAAAAACGGTGATGAAAATCACCTTACCAAACAGCATAGTGTTACTCACTGCCTATGTGGCAGAAGCATTTTTTCGGGTCTTGGAAGTATGGGCATTTTTTCTTGAAAATCAATCCTAAAAAGCGCCACGGTTCCAAACACCATGCTAATTAGAGCTAATGAAATGCGTCATTTATTTAATAATACTTTTAATAATAATTATTATAATATTTTTATTTAATATTCTTTTTAACATTACTTTTATTATTTTTAATATTACCAAACAATCTATTTGTAAGGTTAAAGTAAATTTTACAATTCAGGATGTTGGAGAATTGCTATGTTTTTCTTAAATTTAAAGAATGAATTACTTCTTTATTGCTGATCAGAAAAGGGAGGAAACATTGTATTAAGTTTTCTGGGTGCATTGGTTTAGGTAACTCTTTGAAAGCATAAATGATGGCCCCAATTCAGGGGCTGTTTGTAATAGTGGATTATTTTGTGGGGTCAGCACTCCTCATTTGGGGTGTCTGATGTGTAATATTTTATGAATGAACTACTAAATAAGAGATGAAAAATCCCCTTAATTAGTATGGTATTGAATCCTTTCTACTTAAAGATTCTAGTTTTTTAACCAGTATGCATACTTAGTATTCATCTTATTTTTCTTCTGACCGTTGGGCAGATAAATATAAATAGTTGAATATTTGAGTAAATCCAATTAGTCAAGCATGCAGTGGCAAGATGGGAAAATGATGAAAAATCCACCTCGAATATTTTCTTCTCAATATTTTTAAATCTATCAAACAGTTAGTGAATTGATTCGAAGAAATTGGTTGTTACCAAGCACCAAATGTGATTATGTTTTTGAGAAGCAGAAATCAAATGACTATGCCAAACAAGATTGGTGATTTTCAGTATGAAAATTCTCAGAATTCATTCTTTTATAAAAAGATTCTGAGAATGAAAATCCCTAAAATTGATGCCAAATAGGGCCTTAATTTGTAACTTCTGTCACTCTTTAATATTATACCAATGCCTAACCATTTTTTATAGATGGCAAAAGAAAAGGGCTAAGGGAGATAAAAAATTATTAGACATTGGTATGGTATTTGAAAATGATAGAGGTTAAAATAAGAAATGAGTTATTTAGTATGCATTCGAGTTAAATATCAGTTAGATTAAAATAGAAATTAAAAAAAAAAATGTGAAAATCGGAGAAGTCACCAAGAAATTAGGTGCTTGTGAACTTTTGAGGCAATTACAAAATTAAAATAGAAAGTTGAGTAATGTGTATTGGTCATAATTACAAATTAAAACTTTTCTAAGAGAGATCTAGAATCAAATGAAAGAGTCAATAAAAATAGGAATTTTCAAAATTGCTCTAAATTTATATATAATATACATACAATCAACTAGAAGAAACTCATTTCCATAAAAGACTATTGGACAAAAATTTGGAAACAAGAGAGAAGGAAATGAAAGGAAACAAAGGGTGGGGCCTCTAGGAGAGGAAAAAATATTAAAAAAAAAATGTTTTAGGGGATGGGGCTAAAACAAAAACTAAATTTCTATGAATGAGCTCACTATCAATTAATTATGAACAATATATATAGGTTGTATAATGCGTACAGATTACAAGATACAGATAATATTGTTGAACAACTATACAAAATAAGCATTATAGAGTGAAACAGAGAGATAATCTATATGGAGTGAGAGCTTTTAGGAGGTCAGTTCAAACTATAGTTATCTATTCAATTGTGAGTTACTTGGCTGACTTGTATTTGGACTCTTCCTATCCTTATCAGCACCCCACAAGCAAATGGGGAGAGGATGCACCATTAGCTTGATCCTCAAGAAAGAAAATCTAGAAGATTTTAGTGGTTTAGTAAAAATATCCGTTAGCTAATTTGCACTAGAAATGAAGCGAACATCCAAGGCCTTGTGAGCAACTTGCTCCCAAACAAAGTGATAATCGATCTATATATGCTTGATGCAAGCATGGAAAACAAGATTTGCAGTTAAATACATCACACCAAATGAAGCCCATAATGAATAGTGTGTTTCAAATATCTGAGTATGTCCTTGACTACACTCTAATGCTCAGTAGTGGGAGCATGCATGTATTGGCATACCTTGTTGACAGAAAAGGCTATGTTAGGACGGGTTATGGCTAAGTACTGCAAAGCACCAACGACATTCCTATATAAGGAAGGATCTGAAAGAACATCTCCAGTGTGTTGTTGAAGTTTACAAGTGGATGCCATGCCATGGAAGTTCCATAAGGTTTCACACCATCCAAGTGAGCTTTTTGAAGAAGATTCACTATGTATTGTTTTTGAGACAAAATAATATTGTTGGAGTTGTGAATCACTTTAACACCAAGAAAAAAATGTAAAGAACCCAAATCCTTAATAGCAAAGGAGGTGCTCATGGTAGCAATAAGATTTGATACAACAATGGAGTCTGAACCAGTGATAATAATATCATTGACATAGATGAGTATAAACATAACACATATAGGAAATTTGAATATAAATAAAGAAGTGTCTGCTATAGATGCCTTAAACCCAGCCTGAAGTAAGAATGTACTAAGCTCCTGAAATGAAGCTCGAGGAGCTTGTTTTAACCCATGAAGGGACTTATGTAAATGGCAGACATGAGAAGGAAACTTTTGGTCAACAAAACCTGGAGGTTGCTTCATGTAAACATTTTCTTCAAGATCACCATGAAGAAATGCATTTTGAATATCAAGCTGCCTTATAGTCCAATTTTTGGACAAAGCAATGGTAAGAACAATGCATATAGTAGCTGGCTTTATAACTGGACTGGATGTTTCAGCAAAATCAATCCCAGGTCGTTGATTGTAACCTTGAGCCACAAATCATGCCTTATAATGACTAACAGAGCTGTCTAGGTTTCTCTTGGTTTTGAAAACCCACTTACACCCAATGAGATTCATATCATCAGTGTGGGGAACAAGAGTCCAAGTTCCATTTAGTTGACTAAAACAGGTTGGCTCATCATCATTGATTTCTAGTGGGTGATGAGAGGCAAAATAAACTTTGGGTTTAGAAATACCAGCCTTCCCACGAGTAATCATAGGGTGTAAATTAGTTACAAGTGATGGAGAATGAGCAATACTTACAATAGCAACCTTAGGAGTGACTTCAGAATGAGAACTAGAAGAACTTGATGATATGACAATAGGAGAAGGAGAAACATTATCACTTGAAATAGGAGAAGCAACTAAATTATGGACATCCATAATAGAGGAAGATGATATAATATTGCATAGTGAAACTTCAGTGATAGGAGGAGGTCCAATAGTTGTGGTAGAGACCTGTATAGATGAAGAAGAGTTAGAAGCAACTGAAGTTTCACAACTAGACTTGAAGGGAAATGTATCTTCATCAAACTGAACATGTCATGAAATAAAAACTCTACCTGTAGGGAGGTGGAGACATCTGTACCCACTATAGTCTTTAGGATGACCCATAAATACACAAGCAACAAAACGACCTTCAAGATTATTCCTGTTGTAAGCTCGAAGAAGAGGATAACAAGTGCAACCAAACACTTTCAACATACTATAATCAGGTTTAGTATGGTATAATACCTCCAAAGGAGATTTCATAGCAACAACTTTTTTAGGAAGTCAATTGGTAATGAAAAGAGAGGTCTGAAATGCTTCCCACCAATAATTCTTTGGGTTATCAGATTTCTCTAGTAAAGTCATTACCATTTCAACTATTTGAATATGTCATCTCTCAACACGCCCATTTTGTTCCTGGGTGTGAGGACAAGAAAAACGACGCAAGATGCCACAATAATTTAGAAAAGATTTAAATTTGACAAACTCTCCTCCTCCATCTGTTTGAATAGATTTAATCTTGGTATTAAAATAATTCTCGACTTGCAACTTAAATTTGACAAAAGTGTCAAGAGCACCTAATTTCTTAACAAGTGGAAAAGTTCATTGATATCTAAAATGAGCATCAACAGAGAGAAGATAGTATTTAAATCCGTGGATAGAAGTTATAGGCGATGATCCCCAAACATCACAAAACAATAAGCCAAAATGAGCATTGCATAAGGACTCACTAACTGTAAATGGTAATTTATGGCTTTTGCCAAGAGGACACTCATGGAAAAACTCCATTCTTTTATTAGTAGACACCGGCAAT